TCCTGCTGGCTATGCATATGTATAGGGAAACCATCAGGGTAAAATGTCTGTTAATTATCACATGTAAAGAAAAGAAAATCTTATCTAAAAATAGGTATTTAAAAATATCATGACCGGCTAGCACATCTTAAGTCTACCGAACTTGTCGACACCAAATGATGTATTATTTTCAGTACTATTTTATTCAGTGAATTTTCTAAGTGATAAATATTCTCACTGTAATCCTGACCATTTAAAACAAATTAATAATAAAATGTGCTAGTCCTAACGGAACCAATTCATATAGAAACTGCTTTCACATCATAACTTGGATGGTGACTTTTTTAGTGTGGATGCCATCCCAGTATTTCGTCTGCGTGTCTTAACTTTACGCTAAAGCTAAATAAGCCACATGAAACGCCTTGTCTGGGCAGTCAGCAAACCACTGGTTCTGTCAGCAGCTGGTGTCTTCCATTGGCTTCAGACAAAGCCAACCGTTTTCCTTGAGCTTTTGTGTTTGTTTTTAAGAAAGCGGTAGCTTCTTCTTAAATGAATCATTGTGAACTCACACTACCAGTGCTGATAAATAGCTGTCACAGAAATAAGCTTGCACTCTTCCAACCGTCTGCAGTTTCAAACCTTCCCTCCCTTCTCTTCAGCTTCAGTAAGGCAAAGAAAGAAAAGAATTCCTCCAAAGAGCCACTTATGCCCATGAATGGCAACACCCCTACTTCTGATACTCCAGGGCTATAATTACATTATTACAGTAAATCAAACATTGCCTTTGTGTCTTTACAATCGCGCTCATTGTTTGAAATTAACTGCAAATGGTTTGATTTTCTTTTCTTCCTCAAATACGGGCAGGGAGGAATTAAAGCACACTAAATCATCTTCCCCACTAAAACGCACAGAAAGCCAGGATTCAGACAGCAGCATTTGAACTTTGCAAGAAAAGAAACCGCAGCACGGAGGGAAAGGAAGAGATCAGGCACCGAATTTGACACAGAGCGACTGCAAAGCAATTAGCGGGCCGCTAAATCCTCTGTTACAATAAATCACTGACCCAGTTCCCCCTCTTCCCCAGTGCCCTTCATTATAAAATCAACTTTAATGAACTACCCCTCTCTTCCCCACTCCAAAGAAAATATATTTTCAGTGCAGCCTGCACCTGCCCTTCCCAGCGGCTGCCTCGCCAGGGAGCCTCGGGCAGCCCCAGCAAGCGGCAGTGGGCCGGGGGCTGCCCCAGACTGCAGGGGCCAGGGGGGCGATGGCACTTGGGCAGCATACAGGCGCTTTTAGTGATGGGCAGAGCACGTAAATAAAAAATAGGAAGGCAAGCTGCCTTCGCCTCGGCGTTGGCTAACGCGAAACCTCTCTCTCTCTTGACGGTTTTCCTCGTTTCTTTTGATAGACTTGATTTGCCAGATCTGCCGGAGCTGACGCATCTGGCTCCTTCCCCAGGCGGAGGGCACGGTGGACATGTCAACATGTTGTCTGAAGGCAGGGGTACTTTCTGGAAAGAGCTCTTTTCCCCTCTATCATACATTGTACAATAACCAAGCCTTTTAAAAGGATGGCGGGGAAGAAGAAAAAAAAAAAAAAAGCTGATTTTGACAAGAGACAGGCCAGAATGGGAACTGCTGAGACAGTAAAGAACAAGCCTGTTATCTTACAAACTACACTTCAGGCTGTCAGCTGCCAGAGATTTACAGGAAAACCCCCTTTCCTAGGACTGAACCTACCCGAAACTTCATTTCCAGCAGAAGAAACTCACGAACGCATTCACCCCGAATAGCCCCTGACCGGGGCCGGGGATGCTCGGGAGCGGCGGGGCGCGGGGGAGGACAAGGCAGCCCGGGGGAGGGCGGCCGCCGCCGCCGCCGCGCCGCTCCCCTGCCCGCGGCGGCCCTACAGCGTGCGTGGATGGCTCCCCGGGTGCCGGGGCCGCTTCCCCCGCTTCTGCTCCCCCCAGCCCACGGCGTGGGGAGGCGGGGGAAGACCTCCGGCCGGCCCCAAGCAGCCCCGGTTCGTCTCCAGCCCCGGGCGGGGCGGGGAGCTGCGGGGATCCCGCCGGCTCCGGCCGGGACGGCGCTCGCAGGTGGCAGCGGGGGCGGGTGCCGGCTCCCGCAGAGGCCGGGAGGGAAAAGCATCGGCCGCCTCCGTGCCCCAAGCCCTCCCGGCTCCCCCCGCGCTGCCCCGAGCCGGGGCTGCTGCAGGCTGCCCGCCAGCCCTGCCCGCCCGCAGCGCAGGAGGGTGGCACGTCCGTCGAGCTATTTATAGCAGCCGGCTCGTATTTGGGTATGCCGGGAGCCGCCGGGGCGGGGGGGTGAGGAGCAAAAAAGAGGTAAGGAGCAAAGGCAGAAAAGCTCCCGGCCTTGGCTGGCCCAGCAGATGTGTCGCGCCTTCGGCATCTGTAGGCAGCGTGGGTCCTACTGCTCCAATGAAAGCTGAAGCGCCTGTCAAAAGCCAGAAGAGGGGAGGAGATGCTGGCTTTTGAACCGATTTCCTCCGCCTCGGCAGCAAACCCTGGACAGTGATTTCTAAGCCCTGGGCCGGCTGCCGCTGAAAACAAGCTAAAAAGCAGTCCTGACGTCGCTAGATCCTGTCCCCTTTGAGATGTTAACAGGGACGTAATTAATAAATTTCCCGTTGCTCGCTGGTGCCCGTTTTCTGCACCGGTTTTACGACTCCGGCGTGCCACCAGAGACCTATTCCTGGCCCACACAGCTGCCCCGACTGTGCCTAGATAAAGCCTGTCAGGGCGATTTTTATAGTCTCCCTTCAAGGTAATGTCTTATCAAAGGTTTAGCCCTCGCTCACGCCGCAGGAACCTCGGCCCGTGCCTCTCTAGAATGAAAAACGTTAAACAAACTGTGGGCGACGTACGGGGGCTCAGGGCTCTTCTGATCCCAGCCAGGCAGCTCCGTCAGGGGCTGATGGAGCCGGAGGGCAGACAAAGGAAGAGGCGATGACAAAATCGGAACGAAACCGAAAACATGTTTCTGATTTAAGTGCAATCTATTTTTAAATTGGGTGGCATGTAAATATGAAGCCCTAATTAACACGCGGGATTTTTGCCCATGAGAGCATTTTCCCAGCACGGAGGCTGGGCGTGTTTCTCCTCCCGGCGCTCGTGGAAGCGCCTGCTCGTCCTCCGGCAGCTCCAGCCCCGGCCCTCCGCGCCGAGGGACACCCCACATCTCGCCTTCGCTTCCCCCTCCGGAGCCCACCCGACCTCAGGAAACGGAGGAGCGAATGACTGCGGGTCCCCCGAGCTCCGCTGCAGAGGGAGCGGGGCTGCCGGCAGCTGCCAGCCCGCTGCCGGGGGTCCCCCCTGCCCGCACACGCGGAAACACCGCGGCGGCTGCTGCTGCCCGGGACCCTTCACGGACAACGCAGCCCCCTTCCATTTTGTGAGAGGATTGATCCAAATCAACGGCAAATGAACCTTTCCAGAGCAGAAAACTACACACGAGTAACACGGGGAAGAGCCACTAGCGCCTACTAAAATGATCCGCGACTTTAAAAACACACGCTTCAAGCTCAACCTGGCCAACTCGCTTCCACTGAGCAAGAAAAACAGTCTTGGGGGAAGAAAAAATCCCCATAGCGTTTACAACTGTAGGGTGTATTTCCTGCTGTCAACTCAATCAGTAACGATGGCTGCACCCAAGCACGGGTTTCCCAAGAAGAATTCATCACAGCAACAGAGGAGCAACTAACATCCTTACTAGGAGCACAGCTTTTTGTAGTTTGCCAGATGTTGTTCTCCCCATGTATTATAGTTAGACCTGGCACCACAGAGGAAAGAATATGGAAATAGGAAGGAAGGAAGGAAGGTTGGTTAATATCTATTTTCTTGTGGATAAACCATGACCACCCTTTCTTTGAACAGTATATGAAACTCGAGAGCTTTGATCGCTGGGATCTGAAGTTCTCGTGGGGGAGCTGGTACTCCTGCTGCTGCTGCTGAAGAAGAAACACAAAACTCCTTTACTCGATTCAGTTCAAAAAACACCTACTGTGAGACCGTCTGGTCTAACGTTCATTTTTTATTCTACTGCAACGCTCACGCTACGCGAAACGCAATAGGAATTTCCATACCAGCATTTACATCCAAATGGACCCGTTGAGATTCATGCTGATGTGTAACAGTCCTACTATGCAGCCCTTCTGGCAAGTGCCGCGGTGTCGGCGCACTGACTAACAGGACTAACACTCGGCCTCTCCCAGTTGTTACCCCGTGGGCTGCTCCCCGTGCCGGGGCTGCGCGTACCCGGCGCGGCGCCGCGGAAGGGGCAGCGCCCGCCGGGAGCCGCCGCGGCCGGGGTGCCCCCCTCTGCCTCCTGCTCTCCAGGGGTGCCGCAGCAAGCGGCGCTTGCATTCTAGACGGCCTTTATTTCCCACTAGTGTGGGGAGTGCTTTTGAATCGCCGAGTCCTTCCTCAGCTCTCGCCCTCGCGCCCTTCCTCACCTGGGTATTAATTCCGCGGGCGAGGAAGAGCGATCGGAAAGCAAGCCGCAAGGCCGGCCGTGGCGGGCGGATGCCGGCCAGGTTAGCCCCGCTCCAGGCGGCAGGGGCGATGCCCCGCGTCCCGCACCTTGCCCCG